GGGCTTTCCTGCCTGGGCTTTGAATCATGATCTTCAGATGTCAGCCTCCTGAGTAGTTAGGATTATGGGCATGAGCCACAGGTACCCAATTGGAGCTTTTGTTAGATATTTTTATTCACAATCACATTTTCTGAAAAATCACAGTTTTTTTCTCTTTATAATCTGTATAATTTTCTTTAAAATTTTTTTATTTTTGCTTTTGCTGCCCTCAGTAGGAGTTCAAGGGCAATGTAGGATAGAAACAGTGATAGCAGACACTCTAGTCATATTTGTAATCTGTAGATAATAGTATGGCTAGCCCCTAAACATGATGCTTATGGTAATCTTTTCTATTACTTGGTTCATTTATTTCACATGCTTGTTTAGTGCTGGCGGGTCCCTTCATTTCCTCGGCTGTGCCCCGTGGGGTATGGTTGGGGCTACTTCCTACATTTGTATGGCACAAAGTGAGGACTCTTAACTGAGTGATAGGAGAGGCTGTAGCTCACAGTGGGAAGGATGGCTTCATAGATGTCAAGATGGGCCAGAGCTTAATAAAAAGAGGAGGAACTAGAGAGCGTGGGTAGGTAAAACCTTCAAAAGACTATTTAGGAAAAAAAAAGTGTCAAAGGCAGAGGCTCTACTTCCTGAGCAGGAGCATACATGCCTAAGAGAGGAGGGAGGAAGCTCAGTTCTTCTGCAATCAGAAAATCTGGAAGCAGGGGGTGGAGGAATTGCTTGCAAGCATATGCAGGGCCTTGGGTTTGATCCACAGTACTGGAAAAAAAAATCTGGAAAGGAACTAGTTTAATTCCAGGAAGTATGGAATTGTGTATCAATTCCCCAAGTAAAATCTTCCTTTGGATTACACATGAGTTGGTATATGTGGGGGAAGAACACTTTTTAAAGCCTTGTTATGGGGAATTTTAAACATATGTGAACTAAACAGACTGGTCTCAGGAGCCCTTAAGCACCCAGGACTCAGCTCAACAACTAAAACAATCCTGTCACTTTCATGTCATCTGTCTTGAATCCAGAAGGGTTCAAATTGGGGTGGTTTTGCTTCCCACCTCCACTCCCAGAAACATCTGGCGATGCCTGGAGACATCCTTGGTAATTATACCTGGCATTCCAGTGTCCCTGCCATCTAGTGGGGAGGAGTAACACACACAGCCTAATGTGCTCCACAACAATGGAATCTCTGGCCTAAAGTGCTGGCAGTATAAGCACTAAGAAACCTGGCTGTATTCACTCCCTGTACACCAAAAGGCACAATTCTCTCCCCTCCCATTCGCCTGTTTTCAGTATTTCGGATTTGAACCATGTGGAAATGACAAATACTGTCTGATTCCACACATATAAGGTACCTAGAGCAGTCACATTCAGAGAGACAGAAAGTAAAGTATAACTGTTAGGGGCTGCAGGGAGGAGGTGCGTTGAAGGTAGTGAGGTTTGGTTTGGAAAGATAAAAGTGCCTGGAGCTTCTGGTGCCAGTGGCTCATGCCTAGCTAAGCTACTTAGGAGGCTGAGATCTGAGGATCATGGTTCGAAGCCAGCCCAGGCAGGGAAGTCCATGAGATTCTTACTTCCAATCAATCACAGAGAAAGCCAGAAGTAGAGGTGTGGCTCAGGTGGTAGAGTGCTGACCTTGAGCAAAAAGGAGCCCAGGGACAGCTTCCAGGCCTGGAGTTCAAGCCCTAGGACTAGCAAAAAAAAAAGAAAGTCTGGAGCTGATATTCCAAAGTATTTTAGACTCTACAATATGACAGACTTGAAGGAGCTTTTGAGAGCTCCTGATTCAGGACTTTGATTTACAAAGGAGGTACCTGAGCCCAAAGCAGGGAGGCAGCTGACAAGGACCACTGACAGCAGAGAGGAATGGACCCCAGGTCTCCTTTCTCTATACCACACTGTGCTTCTTTCTCTATTGTAAGTGTGAGTGAGTGAATGCCATTTGAGCTGTATGCTCAAATACAGGGAGTCATAAGACTAATTAATGACCTTGTAAACCCTACAAGGTTCTCTGAAAAAAATAAATCACAAATTAGCCAGAAGCATTATGAATATTGGAGTAGTTTATCCATGAGCCCTTGTAATTGCTGAAGAGGCCTTTGGGGCCCCAAAGATAAATACCTCACTTTATGTCATCATCAGGACAAGAATGAAGAACAGAAAAGAGCCTCCATTGCCATCTTTGGGATCAGCATTGAGGCGTGGCTTCAGTTTAGGATGTAGCACCTTGTGGCATAGCAGACACAGCTCAAAGGAGGCTAGCCCATAGCCTTGACTTTCACAGCTTCTTTTAAAGTTTAGATTATAGCTATTCCTTGACTTGAGGGAGAATCTCCTTAGCTCATGTACATCTCTGTGTTCACTTCTTACCTAAGTGAACAGGTCTCCAGCTACATGTTGGTTTGGGTTTCCGAGCCCAGATGCTCACAGCAAGTCTTTGTTCAGTGAACCTGAACTTCATGTGGCATCCCTGAAGAACTACATTGAGACACCCCAGGATGAGCCTGTGGAGTCCCACCTCCCCTTTATCCACTTGTCTTTGCCTGGAGCCTGTGAAATAAATCTCCAGTTCGAGCAGATAGGTTTTTCACCCACATCATAAAAACAATCTGAGATTGTTCTGCAGATCCTGGCTTTCAGTCTGAGCTGATTATTCTAATATTCTTCAAAGAAGAGAAACATCAGAGGAAAATAGACACGAAATGGGATTCTTGTGACAAAAGGAAAACATCATGGTTATTAGACAACGAATAAGTTTGCAAGGCTGAGACAAAACTACAAATTCATGAAAACACAAGGAGTTCCCAGTGAGTCAGCCCTGTGTTCCAGGGGGATCATCAAGTCTGTAGACAGAAACGTAAGTGAGGAGTCTAAAGTTTCTCCCAGATACAGATTTTAATCACTCCCTGTCCTCTCAGCTCACACACAGCAGTGAGAGAGAAGAACAGAATGAATCCCCAGCAAACATGTGCTAGGAAACCGGAGACAGCATGCTGGGGCATTAGTGTGCTGCTTCTGATGGAGAGAATGAGTTCTGCGCTTATGACATGCGAGGCTCAAGGATTTCAGAACAGACTGCTGCAGTCAGGCCCAGGGAGATCTGTGTCTGGATCTGTGCAACCTCCCAGGGAGTTTTCCCAAACAACATTTTTGACCCAGCTAAAGCTGGTTAGCCAGACAGCCAACAGCAAGCAGACAGTGGCAAGCACTGACTAGATGCTTCTATGTTGGCTGCATATGCAAGACGTAGTAGGGAAAATGGGCAATGAAAACAGAAATGAGGTCACGTCCCTGGGCTTAGGAAGGTTAAAATGAGGGCTGGCCACATGGCACTGTAGTTTATTCTTTCTTTTCTTTTCTTTTCTTTTTTTTTTTTTTGAGACAGGTTCTAGTTAGATAGCCCAGGTTGGCCTTGGACTTGAAATTGCTGAGATTATAAGTAAGCACCACCAATTCCTGGCCCATTGTCTTGCCAGGAGTGCTGCTAGATTAAGTAACTTGTGCAAACACAGGATTCAACCTTTAACCTTTGTGATTCTAAAGCCCACAACCTGAATTTCACACTGCCCGTGCCTTTTTTACAAACCAGGGGTCTGTTTGCTAACAAGAACAGATGAAAACTGCACTGTAACATTTACCAGAGCTTGCTATGCCCACATGTTATGTATCTGGTTCTGGTTCTCTGCATGAGAGACCACAGCGTACTACACACAACATATACTAACTCAGCATCTTACTGATGTAGGCCTGGGACCAGCCCAATGGACTGTGACACAGCTGAACCTAGTATAACATTTCATTTGCTAGAAGAGAAGGATTTATGGAAATGTCTTGAACTATATAATCATCTTACATATTTTCTAAGTGTTCACAAGAGAGGTCTAGAAAGGAGTCATTTTAACAAATATGAGCAGCATTTTTGATTCGCACATGAATAGTTTGTATTTAAGTGGTGTTTTGAAAGAATTAGGGGTATTGTCTTTTTGAAGTAGGTAAAAGTGCTCCCTGAACTTAAAATGCTCAAATTTCAGCTAGTATAAAAAGGTTGGAGCAGAAAAGAGGCAACTTTGCTATAGCACAGAACTCAACTCATCAGGGCCAATGTGATATAAACTAAGTATTAGTTTTTTTTTTTTTTTGGTCGGAAGTGGGGCTTGAACTCTGGGCCTGGGCGTTGAGCCACAGCATTACTTTCGGTTTTCTAGTGGTTTATTGGAATAGGAGTCTCACGGTCTTTCCTGCCAGGCTGGCTTTGAACCGCGATCCTCAGATCTTAGCCTCCTGAGTAGCTAGGATTACAGGCGTGAGCCACCAGCGCCTGGCTCTGTTGTTGTTTTTTTTGTTGTTGTTTTGAGACAGTGTCTTGCTATATATATAGCTCATAATGGTCTCAAACTCCCTATCCTTCTGCTTCTACCTTCCAAGTGCTGGGATTACAAATGTGTAACACCATGCTTGGCAGAAGAGTTGTCTTCAAGCACAGAATTGAAGAGGGCAGAGGGGAGATGATCAAAGGAGCTTCTTGGGATCAGCCTCTTAGTTAAGCCTCTCTTTGCTTGGACTCAAAAGGGGTCTCTGCTTTGGCCTCTGTGGATTCAAAACCTCAGAGCTTTTGCTGCTTCCTCTACTTGAAACATTTTCTATAGGCCTCAACAGAACCTTCCTGACCACCTCATGATTACACCCCAAGTAGTAACCCCAAGATACTTTCAGGTACCCTTGTTTTATACTCTTTAGCACACTTCTCTGAGATTGACATTGTCTTCTAACTCATCTGCCAACTTACATAGTATCAATCTTTTCGTACCAAAATGGGAGTGTCGCAAAAGAAAGGCCTTTTCCAATTGGTTCACTGGGCAGACACTGTACCTAGAACCACACTTGGTTCCTAGCAGATGTTCCACAAATAATTTTACATAGATGGGTGAATGAATTAAGAAGCAGTAGTCATAGTGCAGGGGTTAGACTAATGACAAAAGCTGTAAGGCAAAGTGTGAAGTTCATCTCACCTGCTCTGCTCCCACCATGCTAATTGGCTTGCACTTGAAGAGGTGGGTGATGAATTTGGGAATGAAGGAGCTGTGGATACAAACACAGGTAAGAATGAGGCTTACTCTTTCCAGTAAAGAAACGTACGTGTGTGTGTGTGTGTGTGTGTGTGTGTGTGAAACACAGGTAAGAATTAGGCTTACTCTTTCCAGTAAAGATACGTGTGTGCGCGCGCCCGCTGGATGCTGTCCTTGAGTTTTTATGCTCAAGCTACTGTCAGCCTCTTGGAATTTTCCTGCTAGGGCTGGCTTCAAACTGTGATCCTCTGATCGCAGTCTTCTGAGTAGTTAAGATTCCAGGCATGAGCTACCTGCAGCCAGCATGCAGAAACCTTTTCAAGGTTCTACTCCTTCCCATACAAACTTTGAGTAGAGGGAGATACTATTGCTGCCCATCAGCATCTACTGCTGTCTCTTTCCTTCCAACCAAAGCCGTGGTTTTATTTAGATAAACATGATCTTGGGAGGCTGGGAAAAAATTTTCCTATACTTTAGGAGGTTGGTCATGGGACTTAAACTGTGGGCTTGTGCACTGTCCCTGCGCTCTTCCCCTGAAGGCGAGTGCTCTACCGCTTGAGCCACAGTGCCACTTCTGGTTTTCTAGTGGTTTACTGGAGATGAGAGTCTCATGGACTTTCCTACCCAGGCTGGCTTTGAACCATGATCCTCAGATCTCAGCCTCCTGAGTAGCTAGTAGTACAGGCGTGAGCCACCGGTGCCGGGCTTCCACGAGACTCTTATATCCAATAAACCACTAGAAAACCAGAAGTGGTGCTGTGGCTCAAGCCGTAGAGCACTCACCCTGAGCTGAAGAGCTGAGGGACAGCGCCCAAGCCCAGAGTTCAATCCCCATGATCAACCAAAAAAAAAAAAAAAAAGAAAGAAACAAAATATAAGTTCTTCCAAAAATATGCTGAAAACTAGATAGCAACCTAGACAGGAGGGTGACTGATGGCTATTTGAGAGAAAGGGAGAGTGAGACTGTAGCAGGTCAGAAGAGCTTTATAGAAAAAGCTGCAAAGTCTGAATCCAGAAAGCTGAGCATATGTAGAAAGTCCACAATCAAGGCAAGATCTGGAATGAGCTGATGAGGAAGTACCCAGAACCCCCAGAGGAAGAGTAGTGTCAGAGCAAGACCTGAAGGTTTGGATAGAGTCTGGCTGCCACCCCACTTCACTCCTCTGATGAAGCTCCCAGACTCCAGTCCTGCCCCTCCTTATTCAACCTCTACACATTGTTTCCTACATGCTTGCACTCACTTGAATAGCTAAGGACTCACTGAACTATTCTTTTACTTCTGTGTGTATGTATGCATGTGTGCGTCAATGCTGAGTCTTGAACTCAGGGCTCTCTTACCTTTTTTTATTCAAGGCTGGAGCTTTGCTACTTGAGTTAAACTTCCACTTACAGCTTTTTGGTGGTTACTTGGAGATAAATGTCTCAATAATTTTTCTTCTCTGTCTGGCTTTGAACTATGATCCTCAGTTCTCAGACTCTTAAGTGGCTAGGATTATAGGCATGATCTTCCAAGCTGGACATCTTAATGAGCCACCAGAACCTCAACTACAGCAAACACTTAGACTCAGCTCATCCTGGCCTCCAAGCTCAAGGACTAGATTTTGCTCAGTAAACAAGTCACCAAGTCAGGAATGGGGATTCCAACATCCAGTTTGTTTCCAGTTCTTCCTTTGAGCTCTCAGATTTTTCCCTCCTGATTACTGCCATGCCCATCACTTGAACAAATTTCAATTGTTTCTTATGGGGTCTTCCTGCCTTTGGCCTCATTTCTCTAGCAATTTCAAAAGCAAACTTGACCAAGTTTTTTCCTTAATTAAAACTCCTCAATGGCTGCAAATAAGATCTTATTATCTTCCTCTCTCTTTCCTCCTCCTTTCTTCCCTCCTATCTTCTTTTCTTCTTTCTTTATTTTATTTGCTAAAACAGAGTTTCCCTAGGTGGTCCAGAACAAACTTGAAATACTGGGCTCCAATGATATCCTGCTAAAGCATCTCAGGTCACTTGGACTACAGACAGTACTTCAGTGGCTATTACTCTCTTCATCTGAATACTCTGTTCTCAGCCTCAGCATGCTGAATCCTGGCTCCTTATTCGTTAAGCCACAGATTTCTTGGTTCTACAGGTAGCCAATGCCTCTGGGCTTTGGCTTACTCTGTTCCCTCTGCCTGGAATGCCCTTTCCCAGCATCCTGGAGATCAGTAGTTATGTATTCCTCTGTCCTTGCCCTTCTCCAGAGCCTTTCTTTTTTTTTTTGTCGGTCGTGGGGCTTGAACTCTGGGCCTGGGCGCTGTCCCTCAGCTCTTCAGCTCAAGGCTAGCGCTCTACCACGTGAGCTACAGCGCCACTTCCGGTTTTCTGGTGGTTTATTGGAGATAGGAGTCTCACAGTCTCTCCTGCCCGGGCTGGCTTTGAACCGTGATCCTCAGATCTCAGCCTCCTGAGTAGCTAGGATTACAGGCGTGAGCCACCATCACCCGGCCAGAGCCTTTCTTCCACCATATTCTCAGAGTCCTCAGGCCTCTAATGTCTAACCTATTTTATTATACTTATTTGTATATGCCTATTTCCCTTCACAGTTGACTTAGGCAAATGAAGATAGGGATTGTGACAACTGAGGCAAATCAGCCCTGAGTATGGGACACAGCTCCTGTGAATGTGTGTTGAATAAATAATAAATGTTCTAAGAATGTAGCAGCAAAGAAAAAAAAAAGGAATGTAGCAGCAACTTTTGCATATGTATGTTTGTATGCCAACACTCAGGGCCTGGGGGCTATTGTTTACCTTTTTTGCTCAAGGCTGGCACTCTACCACTTGAGCCTCACCTCTACTTCCAGGTTTTTAGTGGTTAATTAGCAATAAAGAGTCTCATCGACTTTCCTGCCTGAGCTGACTTCAAACCATGATCCTCAGATCTCAGCCTCCTGAGTAGGTAGGATTACAGTAATGACTACTGTTTGAGTGTAGTGCAAGACCAGTACTTCCTGCATCAGTGCAGGAAGTTCACAGGTGACTTCTCATTTTATCTCCCAATCAACAGTAACAGATGTGTCTTATCATCTCCATTACTGAACAAGCATCGGCTGTCATGTGATACAAATTGCTGTTTCAACCAGGGGTGACCTTGATGTTTAACCAGGAAGGCTGTCTTGGATGCAGACATCCAATGGAGGCAAATGAGCCAGGCAGGGAATTGTACTGGGGAGGTCTGGTCCAATGGCATGCCTACTGCTCAGAAGGGTGTGCCAACAAGGCACTATTTGGAAGGGTTTCCTCAGAGCTAAAAACCAAAGCCAGACAAGCAATGTGAGGCTAAATTCTTGACTAGTCCCTGTGCAATGTTTATAACCTAAGTTACTTCACACTGGAGAAGCTGTGGTTGTGGCTGAACTGGCTGTGTACGCTGAACCACAGGGGCTGGGTTGAGGGAAACCTGGGACCAGACACATCTTTGGGGGAAGACATCTCAGCAAAGTGATGGGAAGTTGCCAAGGGCTTCTCCAGGCCATCAGCAAGGTTGTGGTTACTGCCCTTGGCTGGGAAGGGTCCCCTCACAGTCCTTCTAAAGTTTCTAGAGTTAGGCTGGGGCTTTTCAAGGGTGAAGGGGCACCACAGATTAAAACAGAAATATTCTCTAGATCTGAGGCTGAACCTGGCCACGTGTGTGAGATTGGTCTCCTATTCCTAGTCCACTCAGTGTTAACTTAGTTATAAAACTAAAGGGCTGTGAGAGAAAAAGTAAGGTGATGCTTGCACTAGGTAATCAATGGACTCCTTATTCACTTCAACATAAGCTCAATCAGACCCCTGAGCGGCCCCATTGGAGATTTCTAGCCACAGTAAATTTTTACAGAGACACTTCTAGCAGTAGTTATAGGGAGTGTCATAATGTGATTTATCAGCAATGCTTTTAATGTACATTAATGAGCACCTAGAGAGAGAAGGGAATGTCAAGTCCTGGTCCAGCTGCTACACTGCAAACAGGAATGTCTCCTTGGGGAACCAACTCTAGCCTTTCTTGACAAGGTAGAAACTAGTTAACTCTACAAGCCACTGTTAGGGTTATTCTTTAGGGATTTGTGTCTGACAGGGAAAGCCCTAATTGAATACAAACTGGGAGAGATATGGAAAAGACAGAAACTTGGAGTCCTGAATCATCAGTTGGGACCTGGATAAGAACAGCCTAAATACAGTAGCTTGGACAGGGCTGACCTTCCTGTAGGCCTTCCCAGAAGTTTGCCAAAATGCATATTTGATAATTGGTCATAGGAGACCCTGGCCCTCATCATTGCCTGGTCTCATGGGAAACAGTACTGCGGCCAGATGCTGATTGGCAAAGGACCAACTATTTTCTTGCTTCAAAACTCAAGCTAGAAATGGCCACACACGAGGACATAACAGGAAGACATGCAGTTCAGGCCTCTCCATCTACCTTGGCAATGGCGCTCCCTGACTTGATCTTCCCAATTTCTAGTATCTTCCCTGGAGTCAGACATCCACAAGTTGATAAATTTAGCAGCCACAGTAATAAGTATTGAAGAAGGAAGAAGAAATACAACTAAGGATTCCTACTCTTGGAATGTTTATAATCTGGGCTTGCAGTGTGGTTCAAATGGTAAAGTGCCTATCTAGCAAATGTGAGGTGCTGAGCTCAAATCCTAATATCTAAAAAAAACAGTTTATAGCTAGGTGCCTGTGGCTCACACCTGTAAGCCTAGCTACTCAGGAGGCTGAGATCTGAGGATGGTGGGTCAAAGCCAGCCTGGGCAGGAAAGTCCAGGAGACTCTTTATCTCCAATAAATCACCAGAAAACCAGAAGTGGCTCTGTGGCTCAAGTGGTACAGTGCTTGCCTTGAGCTGAAGAACTCAGGGACAGTGCCCAGGCCCAGAGTTCAAGATCCAGGAAAATAAAAATTATAATCTAAGATGAATGCTGGTGGCTCATGTCTGTAATCCTAGCTACTTAGGAGGATTATGATTTGAGGCCAACCCAGGCAAAAAGTTTGTGAGATTCCATCTCAATCAATAGCTGGGCATGGTATATATGCCTGTCACCTTAGTGATGGGAAAGCCTGGGTGAAAAGTTTCTGAGAGCAAAAAGCTAGGCTTCTGGCATGCCCCTGTTATCCAGCTAAGGCAGGAAGCATAAACAGGAAGACTGTAGCCCAGGCCAACCAGGTAAAATAACGAGAAAAATTTCTCAAAAAGAACTAGAACCCAAAGGACTGGAGGCATGCATGGCTTAAGTGGTAGAATGCTTGACTAGCAAGCATAAGGCCCTGAGCTCTAACCCCTGTACCATAAAAAAAGGATAAAAACAAAACAAAAAAACAGAAGCAATAACAACAACAAAAAGCTACTCAGAAGGCTGAACTCTTGAAACCAGGCTGGGCAGGAAAGTCTATGAGACTTTTATCTCCATTATCTCTAATAAACTTCAATAAAGTGGGCTGTGGCTTAACAGGTAGAGTGCTAGACTTGCCCCAGGATGGTACACACATGCACACACACACACACTTTATAATTTAGTCAGATAAAATGCATACGCCAGATTATTGAAAAACTAATCTTAATTACTTCAATTGGACAATGGGTGGTTATGTCCCATAGTGAGTGAGTGTGTGTGTGTAAGGATTTCCCCCACTCATTTTTGTTTGTCTAGGTGGTTGGTGTTTGTGCTGCTGCTACTGCATATACAACTTTAAGTAGCACATCTGGTTTCTTTTTTGGCACAGATTAGTATTAATATTGGCCTGCAGGGACTAGAATGAGGACTGATTGGGCAGAACATACGCATGGTGAGCATGTTGGGTGGTGATCACAGCATTAAAGTAACCCACTGAGTATGATACCGTAATGGTGGATATACCACTGTAGCCCTCTGCCCAACCCACAGCGATACACCAGCAAGGAATCCTCAGAGAAGTCCTAGGTTTTCAGTGACAGTGTGCCAGCATAGGCAGAGACAACTTTCATGAAAGCTGATATGGAGGAGTCTGGATGTGAGGATGGGGATGCCAAGGAACAGAGGGTTATGAAATTATCCTGTGAAACTACAACTGTTCTAAAACATGAAGTTTCTTAAGAAAAAATCCTACAACTCAGTGATGAGACTGGGACTTACTTTGCAAATTTAATGCAGAACTGAGTGAAGTATTTCCGCGTGGAAGCCAGGTTGTCACGGATGATGGGGACATTCTGCTTGATGTGAAGAATGACAGAGGTGACATAGGGGCTCTGGTCACCAACGTGCTCCACATTCTGCCACTGCATCTGAAATAGTCAGGATATAAGCAGGCTGAGACCCTTCACAGGGAAACTATCACATGTTATTTGGACAGCAAAATTAGTTAATTGCTAATTAGCTCATCTTAGGGAATCTGCACTACCTGTTCAGCGTCATGGTGGCTGATTACGAATAAACACCTTGTCCTTGACAGTGGAGTGGAACTCAGCCATCTTTCCTGCACCTACTGGTCCCTGACATGCTCCCAACAGACTTCCTTTGCTGTCTAAGTTACCATTTGCCATAGAACCCTCACAGGCAGAGGAATGAGGTTCTATCCTTCTGGCAGTGGCTCTACTCACAGAAATGGAAGATCAGGGGAGGAACAACTATGTCCAAGCACATGTTGTTTGAGAAACTGGAGAGGACTGGCCTAATGCAGTAAAGCCTAGAAGAGAATTATTTAACATCTTTCTTTTTTCTCAAGTCAATTGGAAGATGTTTGAGATTCTTTCAAGAATCATATTCAGAAATAATGTGACATTCACTTTGAAATAATCTGGAATTGGAGGGAGAGGATGGGTATATATGATGGAGAGGTTGGGTGACAGGTACACAGGGCTCACTAGTCTGTTCTCTCTCATTTTGAATGTATTTGATATTTTCCACAATAAAGACATCCTTTCCCCCTCCCCCCCCCGTTGGTTGTGGGGCTTGAACTCAGGATCTGGGAACCATCCCTGAGCTTTTCTGCTCAAGGCTAGTGCTCTACCACTTTGAGTCACTGGTGCCCAGCTAATAAAAACATTCTTGAAGGTCTGCATAGAATGTTATGGTTCTAAAATCTTTGGGATTATGATGGGACTTCAATTGAGGAAAGGAAGTAAGATGTCTGGCAAACACTAGTGTGGATCAAATGGCAACAGGGGACAAGACAGGAAACATCATAGGGACTGTAGAGGAGGGAGGATGGGGAGAAGAACATAACAGAACTAATATGGTCTTTGGCAATGAACCAAAAATAGCTTAAGCTATACTCTGAGGAGAATTGGGGACACACTCTGGACAACAGAAAGAAGCAACCATAGTGTCTCTTTCTTCTTGGGAATGCAAAGGGGGCCAAGGCAGCACTGGCTTGCAGCCTGTCCCAGCTGGTAAGGAGAGGGCACTAGTATTCTGCCAAGGGTAGGAAGGTGCATCTTTTTTGGGGGGGTCCAGTTGTGGGGCCTGAACTCTGGGCCTGGGTGCTTTCCCTCAGCTTTTCAGCGCAAGGCTAGTGCTCTACCACTTGAGCCACAGCACCACTTCCGGCTTTTTTATTTTTGCTTATGTGGTGCTGAGAAATCGAACCCAGGGCCTCATGCATGCAAGGCAAGCGCTCTACCACTGAGCCACCTTCCCAGCCCATGGAAGGTGCATATTTGATGGTAAGTCAAGTAACCCAGAGGCACTGTTCAAAGCATAGGTCAGTAGTTCTGATGTTTAATGCCTTTGGTAAAAAGACACTAGGTTTATAGAACTCCTGGGGAAAGACTCCTTTTGTTTATGGTGATTACAGTGCAAAGGACTCTGCTTTGTTCTGAGGTCAGCAGATAGGATAGTTCTAAAAGCTTTAGGCATATATAAACACAAGACATAGACAAACACATTCATTTTACAGGTAGGGAAACAAGGCCCAGAGACAAATTGTCTCGTGCAAGGTTTCAAAACCAGGCTCTAGAGATAGGTGTGGTGGTGGTACACATCTGTAAACCTAGCATTTGGGAGACTAAGATAGGAGGATCCTGAGTTTCAAACTGGTCTGGGCTATATAGCAACATACTGTCCAGATAGGAAAAGGCAAAATAGAAAAAAAAATTGAGATGGGGTCTTGCTATGTTGCCTAGAATGACCTTGAACATCTGTGTTAAGTGATTTTCTCATCTCTGCCTACAGAGTAGCTGGGACACTGGCATGTACCACCTTTCCTGGCAGGAAAAGTAATTGTTTTTAACTTAGAAAAAACAAATACATAACAGAGAAACAATTGAAGCTCTCATATGAATAGCCTTTATATTGACTGCTTTGGTTATGTGTTAGATTTTCCTCATTATCTTATTTGAGAGGTGGTTTTCCATCTCAGATTAAAGATCTGACCCTTCCAAACAATGAGCATCTTAGGTGATTTTCAGTGAGCTCATAGGGCGAGGCCCAAACTGACAGGTGTGGTAAGTCACTTCACCTTGCATTCCTCAGCTCTGCAGCAAGACCTGGAACAGAATGCTCTGGGTAAACATGGCTAGCTGGGCAGGGCTTCATAACCTCACATCTAACAAACATGAAACTCGTCCACAGAAATGACAATTGCTTTCCATAGTGGCAGCACTGTCTAAGATTTTGAAAACAGTTCCTATAGTTATTTAAACATTACAGTTCTCCATTCATATAAGATGAACGTAAGGGAAAGCGGTGACATGTTCTGTCATTGGCTACCAAGAAGCTCTGAAGCCAGACAGAGTCCAGGATATGCATTTTATTCAGGTTCCTCCTGGTGAGTTGTGTGTTCATCACCCAAGTCCTCTTGATAACCACTGGCCAAGCTAGGCATGTTCATGGTGGAATATATGTGCTAAGACTGGATAGACATTCTAGTTTAGCCAGTTAGAATCAAATCCAAAGCACAAGTGGATTCATGATACTGAATTTGAATCAGCTTAGTGAAAAAAATGATTTAAATTATTACAAAGTAATTGTTTTTACTTTCTTTTTACTTTTTTTTTTTTTGTGGTGCTAGGGACAGACCCCAGAGCCTTGTATATGCCAGGCAAGTGCTCTACCAACTGAGTTACCACTACCATATGAGCCTCTGCTCTTATTTATGTTTTACTGTTATTATAAAGGTGATGTACAGAAGGGTTAAAGTGTCTAGTAATGAATACGTTTATTCCTCTCTCTGTCTCTCTCCTTTCTTTTCTTTGTTTTGTCATGGGGCTTGAACTCAGGACCTGGGTGCTCTTGCTGAGTTTTTTTTTGTTGTTGTTGTTGGTCATGGGGCTGGAATTCTGGGCCTGGGTGCTGTCCCTCAGCTCTTCAGCTCAAGGCGAGCACTCTACCACGTGAGCTACAGCGCCACTTCCGGTTTTTCTGGTGGTTTATTGGAGATAGGAGTCTCACGGTCTTTCCTGCCTGGGCTGGCTTTGAACCGATCCTCAGATCTCAGCCTCCTGAGTAGCTAGGATTACAGGTGTGAGCCACCAGCCCCCGGCTTGCTGAGTTTTTTTATTCAAGGTAGCACTCTACTACTTTGAGCCACAGTGCCACTTCTGGTTTTCTGGTGGCTAATTGGAGATAAGAGTCTCATAGCCTTTTCTGCCCCGGCTGGCTTCAAACATGATCCTCAGATCTCAGCCCCTTGAGTAGCTAGGATTAAAGGTGTAAGCCATTGGTGCCCAGCACAAGTACATTTCTTTTTGGACAATGTCATCCCTTCCCTAGTGTTCTCCCAGTTTGCTTTTATTTTTTATTTTTTAATAATAACTTTTTGAATGTGAAAATATTGTACAGAGGGGTTACAGTTACATGAGCAAGGTAATGAGTACATTTCTTATCAAGCATTGTTGCCTCCTCCTTTGTTTTTTCCCTACCATCCCTTCCCTCCCACCTCCTCAACTACATTTCCTCCTTCTCCCCCTCCCCTGTCCCTTATTCTTTATTTTTACTTTTTGTTGGTCATGGTGCCTGAACTCTGGGCCTGGATGCTGTCCTTCAGCTCTTCAGCTCAAGGTGAGTGCTCTATCACTTGAGCCACAATGCCACTTCTGGCTTTTTCTGCTTTTTCCTCAGCCCAGGAATCAAATCCAGGGCCTCATGCATACAAGGCAATCACTCTACCACTGAGCTATCTTCCCGGCCCTGCTTTTATTTTTTTAAGTACAAAACATAGTTAGTCATGATTCTGTCCAGACATTGCTTTGGATGGCTGGTGCGTGCTGTCAACCATCTAGATGACTTGGAGTTTAGGTGGTAATGGGAATTGTTTAAAAATTTGTACTAGAGCTGGGCACCAGTGGCTCATGCCTGTAATCCTAGCTACACAGGAGGCTGAGCTCTGAGGATTATGGTTCAAAGCTAGCCTAGGCAGGAAAATCCATGAAACTCTTTTTTTTTTTTTGGTGGAGGGGTCTGGTCGTGGGGCCTGAACTCTGGGCCTGGGCGCTGTCCCTCAGCTCTTCACCTCAAGGCTAGTGCTCTACCACTTGAGCCACAGTGTCACTTCCGGATTTTTTTTTCTGCTTATGTGGTGCTGAGGAATCGAACCCAGGGCCTCATGCATGCAAGGCAAGTGCTCTGCCACTGAGCCACCTTCCCAGCCCCATGAAATTCTTATCTCCAATTAACTACTAGAAAACTGAAAGTGGAACTATGGCTCAAAGTGGTAGAACACTCAATGGAAAAGCTCAGGGACAGCACCCACGTACTGAATTTAAGTGTCATGATTTAAAAAAAAAAAAAAGACCAAAAACACAAAACCTGTATTAGATCCTACCACATGTACAGTGCTTTCCTGGCACCCATACACATCATTTCACTTACTATGCACACATTTTCTCATTTAGTCCTGAAAACAATTTTGTCAATGAGGAAACTCATTGTAACATACCCAAGTTTACAAAGCTGGTAAATGACAGAGTTGGGACAACGAGGTCTGTCTGAAGCCCAAGCACTATACAAGGCTGCTTCCTAGACACTTGTTAAAATACAAAACAAAACAAAACATGGAAAATATTTAAATGGGATAGTTCAAGGTCAGCCCTGCTTCTCAAGAGAAGCTAATGAAATATGCAGTGATCAAACAAAGGTCTCTTTCAGAAAGGAAGCAAACAGTCCGCACTGGAAGAACAAGCATCATGCAATGATACCAATAGACATAAGCAATTCCAGGTCAACTTTGCATTTGGTATTTAAAAGTTACTCCTCTGCCATGTAAAGGGTTTCCTTCTGTGCTTTTTGACTGTGGGGATATGGGATGGAATGGATTCAACTCCCAGACAGTATTCAACCTGTACTA